TACACCGATCATCGCAGCTTGCAGCATTTGTTCAAGCAAAGGGATCTCACTTTTACTTATCTAATAATTAAAAACCAACTATTTCTAAATTGTTAAAAGGAACAGTCCGATAGTTATTTCACTGTTGTCTTGCTTAGCGGTAACGTCGGGCGTCATCACGGCCTATAGGAAAAATTGGGTCGTGACACGCCCTTTCCGAATTTTTGAGACGTCCATTTTATAACCACTCCATAACTAGTTATGCTTTGGTTATAAGCTTCGTTATGGGTTGATTATGGATCCTGGTTATGGATCAGTTATGGGTCTGTTATGAAAGTTTCGATTCGTACATTGTCTTCTTGGTACCTTATTTATTTACTCCATCACAGCTTACTCTTCTTCTTTGGTGCGCTATTTCATAAAATTTTCCTTGATTCTGCACCACTTGCTTTGTAGTCTTTCCCTACATAATTTACTAAAAATTAGGGAAGAATATGATAGCTTTTTTATTTTTATAGAGAAAACTATATTAAAAATCAAGTAAAATGCACTTATCATATTGTTAATAATTACTTACTCTCTTTGAGTTTACAAATTTAGAGTTTTGAAATTATTTTAAAATAAAAAACAAAAATAAAAAAATATAAAAAAACTGCCAATTCAAATTTAGGAGCAGTTTCTTCCTAATATGGTAGTCTACATCTATAAAAAAATAGCCAAATATTTTTTTGATAAAGAAAATAATTTGATTTTGAATTTATAGATAGAAATATTCGAGTTGAGATAAAAACAACAGTTCATTTGCTTATTGAAAATAATACAAAATAGAAATTATTAAAAATATCAATAAATTTATGACAAAATAGTAAAATTACTTTTCTGTTTATATTTTGAAAAATTTAAAATTACAATTTTATTTATATATGATAGTATTTCAATTATATGTAAACTTCAAAATGAAAAAAAAAACTAATTATAATATTACAGTAGAAAAAATATACAAAGATAAAAATAGAGATAATAAGGATATCTCAACATTGAATTAATTTATAAAAATAAAATAAGCAAAATAATACACCAAGATATTATTGATAAATTTAGAAAATTGACGAATTGTGAACAATAAAATAAAATTTAAAAATAATTTTTCGAGAAGTAATAGTGAAAATAATATTATGCCAAGTGGCACGCTAATAAATAGTCGTATTAATAACATAATAATATTAAATAATAAAAATTATAATAAAAAATAAGAAACAAAAATGTTATACGATAACTATGTAATTCATTTTTCTTTAATTTCATATAGTTTAGTTAATGAAATTGGGTCGTGCGCCCTTTCCGAATTTATGAGACGTCCATTTTATAACCATTCCATAACTAATTATGCTTTGGTTATAAGCTTCGTTATGGGTTGATTATGGATCTTGGTTATGGATCAGTTATGGGTCTGTTATGAAAGTTTCGATTCGTACATTGTCTTCTTGGTACCTTGTTTATTTACTCCATCACAGCTTACTCTTCTTCTTTAGTGCGCTATTTCATAAAATCTTCCTTGATTCTGCACCACTTGCTTTGTAGTCTTTCCTACATAATTTACTAAAAATTAGGGAAGCATATGATAGCTTTTTTATTTTTATAGAGAAAACTATATTAAAAATCAAGTAAAATGTACTTATCATATTGTTAATAATTACTTACTCTCTTTGAGTTTACAAATTTAGAGTTTTGAAATTATTTTAAAATAAAAAACAAAAATAAGAAAATATAAAAAACCGCCAATTCAAATTTAGGAGTAGTTTCTTCCTAATCTGATAGTCTACATCTACTAAAAAAAATAGCCAAATATTTTTCTGATAAAGAAAATAATTTTATTTTGGATTTATAGATAGAAATATTCGAGTTGAGATAAAAACAACAGTTCATTTGCTTATTGAAAATAATACAAAATAGAAATTATTAAAAATATCAATAAATTTATGACAAAATAGTAAAATTACTTTTCTTTTTATATTTTGAAAAAATTAAAATTACAATTTTATTTATATATGATAGTTTTCGATTATATATAAAATTCAAAACGAAAAAAAACTAATTATAATATTACAGTAGAAAAAATATACAAAGATGAAAATAGAGATAATAAGGATATCTCAACATTGAATTAATTTATAAAAATAAAATAAAATAAGCAAAATAATACACCAAGATATTATTGATAAATTTAGAAAATTGACGAATTGTGAACAATAAAATAAAATTTAAAAATAATTTTTCGAGAAGTAATAGTGATAATAATATTATGCCAAGTGACACGCTAATAAATAGTCATATTAATAACATAATAATATTAAATAATAAAAATTATAATAAAAAATAAGAAACAAAAATGTTATACGGTAACTATGTAATTCATTTTTCTTTAATTTCATATAGTTTAGTTAATGAAATATTGTATTGAGAAGTAAGACGCAAATTGACATATAATTAAGGCAACATGATATAATATATTAAAAAGATAAATTATAATTAAAATAATTAATATTTTTTAGTATTTGCGCGGGTTCTAATAATACTAGTCTATATTATCCTAAAAGCACGAAGGCCTTTAGCGAAATGTTGTTCGCCTTTTTTACCCTTTAAAAAAAGATTTTACATTGGATAAATTTGTAATTTTAAGTTGCTTTCCAAAATTTTAGGACTTTAAAATCAACTAAATTGTTTATTAAATCTTTCCTTATTAAATTAGGTAGCAAATCCTAATATTTAGCACTTTAAATTATTAAACTTTTTACCTTAATGAATATCCTTAATTGACGTCTATTAATATTAGCGCTTTAAGACCTTATATGAATGTCCTTATTTGACGTCTAATAATTTTAAAGCTTTAATACTATATTAAACTATAAGATTTTCTTATTATTCAGAACTTTAGAAATTATGCGTAAATTTTCTAGAAGTAAAAAAGAACAATAATTCTGGAAGCACAAAAATGAATCAAAATTGGCATACTAATGAACAATGATTTCGGAAGCACTAAAACGAATCAAAATTGACATACTAATGATTTTTAACTATTTGAAATAAAAAATTCTATTGAACAAAGTTCTAATTATAGTTAAATTTTAAAATTGGGATGAACTAATATTAAGAATTTGATAATAAAAGTTAATTTATTTTCTTTAATGTTGAGAATAAATAATTAAGTTTTTGAATTAATTAATGCAAAAGAGTTCAAGTTAATATTTTTTTTAAATTCATTATATAAGTAAGTTTATTTGTCACGTTGACAACTCTTTAAGGTATATAAATTAATTTTTGTAGTTGTATGAAGAGCATTAATGGTGAAAGAAATTAAAAAGTCAATTTATGGTGTAAAATTAAGAGTCAAATTGATAATAATATGAATTTGAAGCAATAAAGATGACATGGTAGAAGACCAAATATATCGTAATGAGTTATCGTTTTTTTTTCTTTCTTGCATTCGGTTATTCAGTCTTATAGGTGACAATGTCTCACTATATTATCTTTTTAAATTAAGTTAGTTGTAGTAAAATATTATTCAATATTAGATATTCTTTAAACTTTATATTGTCACTATTAATTTTTAGGAGGTATAATGTCAACTTTCATCCTAAATTTTAGAACACCAAAGGATTTAATTTTAATTTTCAAATCTTCATATAAGTCTTTTTTAAATCACAAACAAGGCATCCGAAAAACTTTTATGGTGTATGATATCTTTATTTATTGAGCTAGCTAAATTAGAACAATATTTATTATGTTCAGAAAAAGTTCTTTAACGTTTATTTTATAATTTTATATAACTCAAATAAATTTTATTCATTTCACAATTCAAAAAGTGGTAGATCTTTTAAGAAGATATTATTGTCAGAAATACATATATAGTATCTACATAAAGCTCTAATTCATGGCCAAAAAAGAAAAACCGAATTTAAATTCAATCCACTATTTATCAAGATCTAATGGTTTGAATTGATTTCCTTACGAAAATATGTTGGTGTAATTTTAATTTTTAACATTCGAATGTAGTAAATTTTATTTGACAGAAAAGTTGGAAAATAATACCATAAGCATATATTTGGCTGGGGTAGGACTACAACCTGAAGTCAAATTACCTATTGATTTCACGTTCAGAAACCTATTTTTTCTCTTTTTGGGTTTAAAACTTTTAATTATTTCTACACATGTATTGCTATTTCAATATTTTGTTTGTTCGTAAGCTTCCATGGTTAGTTATTAATTGTTGGATAGGCTTTTGGAAGTTATTTAATTCTCTTTCTGATAGGTTTTTATAGAAAAGTTCGATTTTCTTCTATTATATTTTTGTATTTGATATTTATTTATCTGATGAATATAGTATTCATATGATTTTTGGACGAGATTAGGAGGAATGAATTTGTTTAGTCTTTTAATTTTTTTCCGTGTGTCATGTATTTCATAGTTCTTGTAAAAAATTTGTTGGCATGATAACATAATCCTATTAATTTATGATCCAAGCTTTAATTATTGATTTAAACTTCATGTCGCTTAGTATTTTTATATTCATCTGTAACTTTATTGACATATTTGATATTAGTTGTATATTGTTCTCGTGCCAGTTTTGGTTGTACAAACTTTATGGGATCAGAATAAGCGGGCGACTCAAAAGAAAGGGAATAAAATGGTGAGAATAACCCTAAAATTTTTTAGATGACCAGATTTATTTTTCTTATTCCAAAACTCTAATTTTCCATATTGTTTTCTAATTTGTTTGCCCCTTGAAATTACAACAATTGAAAAGGTAGTACAAGCTAAGATTAGTATATATGGAAATTATCACAAATATATCAATGCTAAGTTGATAAGAAAAAAAATATAAAATTGGGATAAAGCATTTATAGTCAAACACATTATTTTTGTATATATATTTACTTGACGCGAGGCACACCTGCAACGCAACACGTACACTAAACTAGTATGAAGAAAAAAGAAAAAAAGAATAGACACATACATGTCGTTTTGTCAACGGAACACGTGAGATAGGCTCAGAAGTTGATCGATCTCCTTTGTTCGTTACCCCAACGCACCCACCACTATACACAAAACACCTCATAATTCTATTCTGCATCATTGATCTGTAGATATATCTCCAATTTCCGCTTCAGATCTGTATTCTGGATCTTCCAATTTTCCTGGGGGATTCATTCTACTAAAGCAGCACAAATATGTACGGATTCGAAGCGCTTACCTTCAACATTCACAGTGGTTATTTGGAAGCCATCGTCAGAGGTCATCGATCTGGCCTTCTTACCGCCGCCGATTACAACAACCTCTGCCAATGCGAAACCCTAGATGATATCAAAATGCACCTCTCCGCTACTGAATACGGTCCTTTCCTTCAAAACGGTAAAACTTTCTTCCTTCTAATTACGATCGTCAATTAATTGAATTTTGACTCAGATTTGTATGTAAAAGGTAGTGAGGTAGTTTGATTTTTTTGTTTCGGAATTGGCTTGAAATTTGTTATGTAGAAGTCGTTGATAATACACAATGTGTAGCTAATTCAATGGAACCGATTGATATTTGTATTGCGTATATAATAAAAAAAAATTGAAGTTTGACGTAGACTTGTTATAAAAAGGTATGAGTAAGTTTTTTGTCCTATGACACTATTTGAATTCTCTATATTCATCCAATACTCACTAGTTGGTCATTTAAGTCAAATTAGAGGTTTATGGCACTAGAGGTTCTCTAAATCTCGCATTTATCAGTACCTTGACGTGAAAATCTTCATCATTATGAGGATTCATCGTAATTTGACTTTGATTACTAGTTTTACGCTGGCTGTCAACCTAGTACAACATTATCTTTTATCTGGGATCAGTTGACAATGTGAAAGGCATATATGATGCGAGGTTTTCCGCTAGTTGGGAATTGAAGTGAAATTAGTTTTATGAGGAAAGGGATTGAGTTAATTGATGCATTTAGGAAGGGTTTAGTTTGGCCACCTATGTCGCAATAAGAATCTAATTCTTGCTTTTAGTGCAGTGATGTTGTGTATTATGATCAGGGAACACTATTATCCTTGCTTTAGAGCTGCTCCATAAACCCCAATTCATAATCTACCACAAAGACAAGCTACCTGATGCAGTGATGCTCACTAGATGAGTTATTGGATTTCAAATAAAGTGAAGACCGAATCTCCTATTTAAAAAGATCAACTTGCTTCAGAAATTTTGTTGTCCTGTGCTTAGAAATTTAGTGGATCAAACATGAGATAAACTTGTTCCATACAATAATTGATTTTGCTCTGTAGAAAGTAGTATGATTTGGAGCGTGTTTCCTATGATATTGGATTTGGAATAGATATAGAAAAATTAGTTAGAGTACTTGCCAAATTAGACTAATATTCTCTTTTGACGGAGGCAACGTTCTTTTGTACTCCATAATTCAATTTTTTCTTGGTGGACAGTATAGTGTAGCTGAGAGAAGCTTCTCAAAAGAAATTAGGTGCTAAGCATTTGAGATGAAGCAAGCGCTTGTATTGTAAGTTTCTCCGTGTTTCCGGATATCAATTTGTTTTATTGTTTTGACTGGCTCATTTTATCCTACTCCCTCTGTCCCAAAAACTATGATACTTTTCAGATTTCGAGAGTCAAGCGAGTTGTTCTTTGACCATGATTTTTCATATACCTTTTAAATATTTTGAGTTGTTAATTATTGTGATTTATGGTACTTTATATTAGTGTTGTCAAAGGCGCGCTTAAGCCCTAAAGCGAGGCTCAAAACATGTTGAGCGCTTCGCCTCGCTTTGTGGACGCTTTAGTATCGCATCAAGGCTCTGAGGCATACTATTCCTTGCCAATGAGTGTAATCATGAAAAGGCGATATTAAACAATTGATATTTCACTTATCGTAAAAAAAATTCAATTTCTTTGCCCATATATTTCTTATTCATGCTTATAATTATTAGTCTTGGACTACATATACATATTTTGTTCTTTTTCTGCAGTTGTGCCTTTTTTCATTAAAGCCCACGCTTTATTTGCCTTTGTGCTTAAAGCCCCAATGGACGTTAGAGCTTTTTTGCGCTTTTCGCCTTTGATAACACTGCTTTTTATGTAGTTTCCAAAAATGTAAATATTATTTTAAATTTTGTATTAATTCTATGTCTAATTCATGGTCAAAGTTAAGAAGGTTGACTCTCCAACTCCAAAAAGTATCATCCTTTTTTGGGACGGAGGGAGTATATGTTTTCTGTACTAATTGAATTTCCTTAAACCTTGTGGGTAGAATGTTCATGTTACCCAATGTTGTAATATAATGTAGTGAAATGGAAGCCAATAGCCTGAAATCTTTCCTCAAGGTGATTCTGTCTTCAAAATGTCTAGATTCCATAGATATGCTGGATAGAGAGGAGGAATTCTAAGCAGCCTATACTAGGCAGTTGCTTAACTGCCAATATTTTAGGAATTTTTCAAAGCACACCGCTCTTGTGCAGTGCTCAACAGAGAGCACTTTGACACTCTTCCTTATTCTAGTTTTGCTGGTCTTTTGCAATTTGCAGAGCCTTCCCCTTTACATACCACTACGATTGTGGAGAAATGCACTCTTAAACTTGTCGATGAGTTTAACCACATGCTCTGCCAAGCCACCGAGCCCTTGTCAACCTTTCTGGAGTACATCAGGTACATATTATTTGTGTTGCTGGGAAAAATTGTCTCTTTATCTATATACCACTTTTCTGTTTTGCTATGCATGGTGAATTATCTTAGAGAAATATGATAATAAGTTATCCTCCAGTGCATGATATTTGAAATTTTACCTTTTTACATTAAAGGGCACATTTTGTATAATAGAACTGAGAGCTCATTTTACTACTCCATTAACATAGGGTTTATTATGTTGCATTAGGCTGTATGGGTGTATATCACATACACAGTTAGTCTCATACCCTTAACTTTTACCGATATTTTTCAGGAAAATGCATCATAAATTTTGTATTAAGAAAAAGATGAAGCAATACCAAATTGGTGCTGCTGTTTAAGAAAGATCAACTATTGCTTCCTTAATAAACATTTTTGTCGTAAATAGCAACATGGGTGTTACGCATCCTTACAATTAGTTACATCTCTAAAGAGCTTAAAGATATCAATGTGGTCTTGTATACTATATACATTATTTTTATTTCACAAATAAATAAATAAAGTTATAATGCGTCTATCTTTCCAGCTTTGTTCTTAACCCCTTTGAAGCATATTCTATTCCTTTCTTCCCAGAGCTTCCAAGAGATGCAGAAAGGAGTTATGTCCTAAAGTTCCCTAACATTAATGCAGATTAGGCAGCCTCTCCAGATAGTATAGCAGTCTCGCAGTTGTTAGCATTACCCGAGATGCCCCATACAGCAAAAGGAACATTCTCTACTGTTCATTCGGCACCTCATAATCTAAAAGCATATAGTTGGCTGACTATTCATGTTTTTCACACATAGAATACCTATTACACCATATCTTCTCCCATTTCTGCAAGTTATCTTATGTTGTTCGAAAGACAGTCAGAGAAGATGATAGACTTGGAAAGTTTAATTCGATTTGAAACATAGCTCATTAACTTCACGATCTAAAGCTCATTAACATAGCTCCACTTCTGCAATATGATTGAATCTAAATTGTGGTGTTCCTTCACGTGGTTCAGATATGGTCACATGATTGATAATGTTGTCTTAATTGTCACCGGAACTTTGCATGAGAGAGATGTCCAAGAATTGTTGGAGAAATGCCATCCTTTGGGCATGTTTGACAGGTATTGTTCCAAATGCATGCCTTGGATTTTTATAGCTAAATGAAATATGTATTAACCATTTTAATATGTTGCAGCATTGCTTCTCTGGCAGTTGCCCAGAATATGAGGGAGCTATACAGGCTGGTGCTTGTTGACACACCCTTGGCCCCATACTTCTCTGAGTGCATTACTTCCGAGGTATCAAATGCTTCACCCTTTTCTTTAAACTTTGATATGGTAATCAGAAACTACCTATTGCCGTTTACAAATAAGAAAAGGTTGCATATGCTTTTAGGGGTCATTTGGTACAATGGTGGGATATCCCAAAATATCCCATGTAGTGGGATATCCCATGGGATAGTTATCCCACCTTTTATATGGGATAACTAATCCCACTATGTATAAAAGTTGTCCCGAGATTAGCTAATACCCCAAACCAAACATGGGATAAATTTTCCAAATTCTATCAACAACAAACCCAGTGAAATCCCACAAGTGGGTCTGGGGAGGGTAAAGTGTACGGACCTTACCCCTACCTTATGACGGTAGAGAGACTGTTAAATCCCAAATTCTATCCCGGTATTATTATCCTTAATTCCTTATCCCATGTACCAAACGACCCCTTAGTTTTCTTGAGTATCGACATTTTCATTTCATGCTGTCCCTTTGAAGAATCAATATCAAGTAAATGGTTGTAGTTCCATGCACTTCATATGTAGTTAACCAGTATCCTCTCCCCGCATTACAGGGCCCTAGTATTTTGTCACTTATTGCTTGCAGTTTTGAGGATGATAGTTATCTTATCTTTTTTTGTGCATTCCAAGTAGAATTGGTTCATAATTTCAGAGTATCTTTCATCATGCATCAGTTGCTTTTATCAGTCTGTTTTCTTCCATGTATGAACATATCCTTTCATATATGGGACTTACTTTTGAGCAGGACTTGGATGACATGAACATTGAGATAATGAGAAACACACTATACAAGGCGTACCTTGAAGATTTTTACAGATTTTGCCAGGTACAATCTGTTGTACAATTTCTATCATATTTTCCTACTCTTCATTTTAATAAAGTTTAACACTCATTTCACGTGTCTAATTTGAAATTTTTGCAAATAGAAACTAGGCGGTGCTACTGCAGAGATCATGTCTGATTTGCTTGCTTTTGAGGCCGATAGAAGAGCAGTTAATATTACCATAAACAGGCATGTCACTGTTTCAGAATTTCTCATAATCTTGCTGGAAAACATTTATGATGGACCTTGTCATAATGTTTCTACTATTAACAAACATTTTTCATTTGCAGCATCGGCACTGAGCTAACACGTGATGACCGCAGGAAGTTGTACTCTAATTTTGGCTTACTGTAAGTTCATTAGCTCAGTCTTTTATGTTCTTGATGGCATACGCCGTGTAACATCTCTTTTTGACACTGTCTATGTTAAATAGTTATCCATACGGTCATGAGGAACTTGCCATATGCGAAGACATAGATCAGGTATTGTATGAGCAACTTTTCTTTATTCTTCTTGTTGCCGCTTTATGCATGTGAAATATTCTTGTGTTGGTTAAATAATAGTTAGCTAGATACGATGATTCAGTAATCTTGTTGGGGTGCTACATCACTAGCAGTTCTTCTCCCCCCACCTTGCCCTTTAAAAGGATAAGACTGAAGCATCATATAGTGCCTGGAAGTGGGCAAGATTTACCTAATTCTTTGCTGGCAGGGGGGAGTGCAGTGGTGGCAATGAGGGAGTTTAAATACTATTGAAGGGAGCGGACAGATAAGAGGAAGAGAAGAGAAAACAAATTCAGAATTTGTTTGTAGAATAAAGGATACAAGCTATTTCTCCCTTCGTTTCAATTTATGTGGCCCATTTCCTTATTAGTCTACTCCAAAAACTTTGGAACCATTTATCTTTAAATATTTCAAATGTCTTATAGCCACACAATTATCATATGGTTTGTTTAAAGACCACAAGTTTCAAAATCCTTTTTTCTTGAACTCCATGCCGTGTCAAACTACGTCACATAAATTGAAACAGGGAAAGTAATATTTTTCGTGTCTTCTAATTATCCTTTTATTACTTGTTGTAGGTCCGTGGTGTCATGGAAAAGTACCCCCCTTATCAATCCATATTTGCTAAGTTGGCATATGGGGAGAGCCAGATGCTCGACAAGGCTTTCTATGAAGAGGAAGTCAAACGCCTCTGCTTAGCTTTTGAACAACAGGTTTGTTCATTTGAGCTCTCTGTATAAAAAATCCTATACTGTTAATGTCTCTTACTTGTACAGGACAACTTCAAATTTTCCCAACCCAAAATGTCCCTCCAAGAAAGTGATAGGGAGCAGAAGCAGAAAGACTATTACAATTTATAATCCATCTGCTTCCTGATTGATATTCTCTTTTCTTTTCATTGCAGTTCCACTATGGTGTATTTTTTGCATATATAAGGCTGAGAGAGCAGGAGATCAGGAACTTAATGTGGATTTCTGAGTGCGTCTCTCAAAACCAAAAATCCAGAGTCCATGACAGTGTTGTTTTAATATTTTAGCGATTTAGCCATATTTGAGATGATGTGTTCTCCATGCTCATCTGTAAATTTGATTTGCACGACCATTTGTTGATAACTATGAGTTTTTGGTTAAGAAGGCCTGAACCCAGCCGTAAGATGGGGGTTACCGTAATTGTGAGGCCATTCTCCTTGGAACTTGCCCTTCCAAAGCCGTAGGATGGGGGTTACAGTTTCACATGGATATTACCCGTTCGTTTGCAACTTAATAAGTCATTGTATGTTGGTTAAATTTGTCATCTGGAACAATACTTGGATTGATGTGTATCAATGTATCACTATTTATAGAGTTTTGCTGCTGTCATTTACTTGAATTATCGGCATTTCATTATATGGGTATTTTCCTTTGGTAAAGTGATGAGTTACAAAATACCTGCTTGAACTTGCAGAGCTGAACATTAGAAACCGCATTAGAGGAGAATGACCATTTGTTGTTGATATAAAAACTGGAAGTTTTCCTCTGTTTTCAGTTATGAAAAAAATTTATATTGGTGATGATATATTCTTTCTGATTGATCGTTTTCTTCGAATTAGGTGATTCAACAATATCTTCTACTAACTTCATCTGTTAGACATTGAAAGAAGGTGGTTAGAGAGAGCGTTCTTTTCTCAAAATAATTCATTTTTTGTTGTATGTTTAAAACATTCCTTCCAAGTTAGACTCATTTATTCTATTTCTAATCGAACCAAATAATATAAGATAAAGCAATAACTAGATTATTTTCCCGTATTCTCACCGCCTCCTCTCTTCCCTTGGACCAAAAATTTAATAGGAAAGACGCTGACAAGTGACAAGTAGAAAAACCAAATGAAGACATAAAAAAGGATCCAACGTGATGGAATCAGAGTTTTTATTCCAAGTAAACATACACGTTGAAACGTTGTTAAAGAAGCGAATCAAAGACTTGCACGTAATTAGGACTCTCCCGTCCTCACAAAATACACTCTTTACCCAAAAGTTACCAATTATTCATTTATTTCTGCCTAGATGAAGCCAGGTTTACAAATGTAGTATCCAAAGGCCACTCAACTTGGATCAAACTAATGTTAGAATTGTCCAAATTAAAACCACACCCCCAACAAAAATCTTGTACGCAGATGTAGTAACCTTGCATGAGTTGTTGGAGTCATCCTTCTTTGGTGCCGGTCCCGGAACGGGAGCTGCCAGTCCGGGAACGGGAGCTGCCGGTGCCGGAGTTCCACCTTCCACGGTGATGACAAGCTTTTGGTTATGGTCGGAGCAATGTGTTGGAAAACCACAAATGTACCATTTTTTACCAGGCTTAGCCAATGTGATCACATCATGACCAGTAGTTAATCCTTCACTTGGTGGAGGAGCTATGCAGTTTTGGAAACCAGTTTGATTCACTTTGAACACATTATGATGCCCTTTGGTATACTTAAAAACTGCATCAAAGACAAAGAAAAAGTAGAAAATAGTTCAAGTAATAGTTACATCATTTAACTAGTTAAATAGCTTCCTTAAGCCATATAATAAATAATAATTCCTCAGTTCTATTAACCAATTGAGAAAAGGAAAAGAAAGAAGAAAAGAAGTGGAAATTACATTCTTCCTATTGATTAATGAAGAGAAATAGAACAGAGAAATTACACTAAGTCAAGAAAAGAGGAGTTACTTCCGATACTCCACAAAGTTTTTGATAGTCCTTTACTACTTTTGATTGATGTCATCTATATTTTAAGGTTTTTGCATATTCCTCGGGAAAGATATTTAATAGTTTTAATCATATGAGTATTTGTCTAAATTACCATTTATCTCTCCATAAGTATCTCACTAAATTAACACAGCAATAAGAGTAGATCGGGAAAAAAGTAAAAAAGACTTCTTGTTTTTCTAATACGACAAATATTTACATAAACGACTAATATTTGAGACCAGAGACCATATACAAAATTGTAATATAGGATCCACTTTTATATTAGTAAACGAAACGTTAATTCTTAAGAACATTAACTTTATTTTCTTTCTAGACCACTTCATTCAAATATATATTTGGCATACCTAAGGTGTCTCCAACTTTGAAAGTTTTGTCCTTGGCCCAAGCTTGATAATCAACATCAATGGTCCAGCCTTTATCACCCCCTACCCAATACTCAGTTGGCGGTGCCGGAGCGGCGGGTGCCGGTGCCGGTGCCGGAGCTCCATCTTCGACGGTGATGACAAGCTTTTGGTTATGGTCAGAGCAATGCGTTGGAACACCACAAATGTACCATTTTTTACCAGGCTTAGCCAATGTTATCACATCATGGCCAGTAGTTAAACCTTCACTTGGTGGAGGAGCTGTGCAACTTTGGAAAGCTGTTTGGTTCACTTTGAACACATTATGATGCCCTTTGGTATACTTAAAAACTGCATCAAATGAAAAGAAGATAGGAAAAAGTTTTAAGTAATAGCCACCGTTTAACTGGTAACACCTTGTTTGTTTTAATATTACCTCCGGTCCATTTTAAATTTCATTTAAGTTTTGTGGCACACCCATTTTTCAAATTGGTGAAAACACCCTGGGCTAGCCGGTTCTCGGACTGATAATCGAAAAATAGCCAGCGTTGCAAAGTCATCGAAAAATAGCTAGTCCCTCTGTTTCAAAAAGATTGATAATATTTCCTTATTAGTCTGTTTCAAAAAGATTGTCACCTTTATATGACAAGTTTCAGATCACGAGTTTCAAAAGTTTTACAACCACACAAATGTTATGGCTTATTTAAGACCGCATGTCTCAAAAGTCTTCCCTTCTTTATCAAAGTTTGTGCCAAGACAAACTAAGACAATCTTTTTGAAATGGATGGAGTACTACTGTATGCCGAGATAAAATCTCGACAAAAATTCCTAGCTGAAACACAAAAAGTTCCAGCATAATATGTTGGATTATGGAGCTTCTTCGTATAACTTATAGCATATTATGTTGGAATTCTTGCACATTATGAAATTCTAACACTTTATACTGGAATCTCAAATGTAAAAAAAATTCGAACACCAGCATATTATGCTGGAATTTTTCCGGATTTTTAAAGGTGTTTTTCTTCAGATTTTATTTGTACATGAAAAAATGATTAAATTTCGATTACTTTTAAAATTGTGGATACTTTTCAATTACCAATTATAAATCATGCTATTTCTAATTATTTTTTTCCCCTTCAAAATGAGCTAAAATATTTAGCCCAACTCCACCTAATAAGCAGACTGAGTTAGCTGGCTCACAGATCAAGTCCATTTTAGTGGCCCTAAAGAAAATCATTTAGTAGCATTATGTTTAAGGTTTATTTGACTAAATTTCCCTTTTATCTCTTCTTAAAAAGAGTAATAGTAATGAATTGAGAAAGTGAAAGAATACATGTTTCATATGTCTAAGAAAGTATGATGCAACTAAAATAATTTACATTACCAATATATAACTTAAATCTGTCATACCTAAGGTATCTCCAACTTTGAAAGTTTTGTCCTTTGCCCAAGCTTGATAATCAACATCAATGGTCCAACCTTTGTCACCCCCTACCCAATACTCAGTTGCCATTGTGATTGCAGGCAGAAATCCTGCAATCATTATCATTAAACACAAATTCTTGGAAGCCATGGAAATTTTATTAGGAGCTTAATTACTAAAATAGAAATCTTTAAGGATAACTTGAAGAAAAATTGGTATTGCTATTTATAGCTTAAAACTTAACAAGAAAGCTTAGCGAGATCCGAGGATAACAAAGTGTGATTGATTAATTTGTACGTGAAATCCAATGAGTTAGCCTGCCAAATATTCCACTAATTATTCTCGTAAAGTTCAAAGAAGAAAAAAGGAGAAGAATACCTTAGTATTGTAGGTAGATATTTCCTCTATTCCATATTATTTGTCTTTTATGATTTTTGCTCGTTAAAAGAATTTTAATGTCTTTAATTATAAGATTATTTGTCTAACTTATCGTTATTTTTTTCTCTTAAATGTCTCATCTTATTAACACTCGACTAATTGGAGTAGTAAGGCTAATTAAAAAAAATAACAAATAGTATATTTTATTTTTCTAAAACGCCAAATATTTCGAAACAAATTCAGTTTGCTAAAACGATTACTATTTGGGACAGGACGGAGTAGGTTGTTAGCATTTATAAGGAATTTTATCATACCCAAAATTAAAGCAAAAAAAGTGAGTACAAATATGACCATAGTTTATCATGTTTTAAGCTATAGGGTCACTCATATTGGAAATATTATGGCTCCATACTCTTAAATTGTGGAGCATATGCTTGCTATGAAACACTAATTTTTTCAGCGAGTGGAGTACATTACCATTCTATTTTACTTATATTTGTCTAGAGCTACTGATGGTTGCGTCGGAATAGACTATCTACAGCACGGTCTTTTAAGGTGTGATCCTTCCCCAGACCTTATGTGAATACGGAATTGCTTCGTGCATGAGGCTGTCTTCTTAAGGTGTTGATATTGTTTTGTACTTATGTGTTTTTATCTTTATCCTAAAAAGGACCTCAGAGAATACATTCTTAAAAACTTAGGCCCCGTTTGGCCATACATTTTGGCACCGTTTTTTCAAATCTTTTTTGAAAACATTGTTTGTTCATAGATTAATGATCTATTTTTGAAAAATTTCTGAAATTGTTTTTCAAGTTCCAAAATCTAGTTTAGGGTAGATTTTGGGTGAAACTTGTTCTCCCACTCACAAAACTTCAAATTTTTTTCAAATAAAATGCATGTCCAAACATAATTTCAACTTCCAAAAATTATTTTTCAAAACTACTTCAAAAATTATTTTTTCAAGTTTTAACTAAATCTATGTCCAAACGTTAGCTTAGATTATCACATGTTTGACTCGTTGTTTGCTAGGAAAACTCTTTTGGAAACAGATACTGTTAATAACAAACACATCCAGGATCTTAACCACTCACAATTTTGGGAAAGGATCCTTCTTTTTTTTTTTTTTGAATAACTGTGGTTTAAAATATTTTGTGAATGTAAGGTGAGTGTAGAGATGAAGCTTCTTAAATTTTGATCCTTATAGGTAAATGATGGTTTGCAGGATATTTGACATTTGGAATGGCAACTCTTTTGAAAGTTTTTTTCTAAATAAGGATTTAAATATGGTCACATGGTGTATTGAAAATAAAAAATAAATAAAAAAGAACACAGAAAAGTTAGCATAAACTGACAACAAGATTTCTCTGATTTCTTCTCCAAAATACATCAATCCGCTTGCTGGTATTGTAATAAGGAAATCCAAAAACCATCAAATATAGTTGATAAATGATTTTCAAGAAAAGGATAGCTCAGAAAAAATCAGCAAAAGGCCCAGAGGGCAGACTAACCTACACAATAATATTTCATCACAACCACAATTATTTAAAATCAACAGAGAAATTTCTCATTAAAGTTCAAAGAACACCATGTTATAGTTGATTCAAGAACCCTCTAGTTCACTTGGCACTGGCAAGCTGAGTGCGGATGGACTTGGCTGCAGACACCATGTTTTGCAGGGCTGGTTTCACCTCGGTATACTTGCGAGTCTTGAGACCACAGTCGGGGTTGACCCACAAGATGTTGGTGTCAAGAACTGCAAGCATCTTGTTAACTCTATCGGCTATCTCCTCTGTGGATGGTATTCTTGGAGAGTGGATGTCATAGACACCGGGACCAATGCCAGCTCCGTACTTCACTCCCTCCCTGAAAACTGAGAGGAGTTTCTCATCAGAACGTGAGTTTTCAATGGTGATGACATCAGCATCCATGTCGATGATGGAGTGGATAATGTCGTTGAAGTTGGAGTAGCACATGTGGGTGTGGATCTGCAAGCCACAAAAGATAAGCTCATTAACAAGCAGGTATCGGATTAAACGAAGTTCCAGAGTTAAAAAAACAAGATCAGAATAGAACCTGTGTAGTGTCCTGGATGCCGACGTTGGTGATTCTGAAGGAGTGGACAGCCCAGTTCAAGTAGAATGCGTGTTCAGACTTCCTCAGAGGCAAGCCTTCTCTCAAAGCAGCTTCATCGATTTGGATCACAGTGATTCCTGCCTTCTCCAAATCCTCCACTTCATCCTTAATGGCCAATGCAATCTGGTAGCAGGTCTCAAACCTAGAAAAAGCGATGATGGTAAACAATACAAACATAATCGAAGAAGGTATAAAACTCAAATTAGGAGGAGGGTATAAATTAAAGTTACCTTGGCTGGTCATTTCTGACAAAAGACCAGTTGAGAATGGTGACAGGGCCGGTAAGCATTCCCTTCATTGGCCTCTTGGTCATGCTTTGAGCAGCTGAGGACCAGAAGACAGTCATTGGCTTTGGGCGGCTCACATCACCATAGATGATAGGTGGCTTCACACATCGAGATCCATACGATTGAACCCATCCATTAGCAGTGAAGGCAAAACCAGATAGCTGCTCTCCAAAGTACTCAACCATATCGTTCCTCTGCATACATCAAGCATTCAAACTTATTAATCCATATTTATGCATGCAAGCGTGTGCATATGGACATAAAAGATGCTAATACATGCATATGCATGTAGGTTAAGTAGGTAATTGTCCTACCTCAGGCTCTCCGTGAACCAAGACATCAATGTCAAGCTCTTCTTGGAGATCGACGACCTTCTTGATTTCCTCCTTGATGGCTTTAACATATTCCTCCTCAGAGATCCTATAAATAAATGAATTATGAGAAGAGATGTTCAACAGCACCAACAATAAGAAGCAGAAAGCAAGTATAACACTGACTTCTTGGCCTTGTATTCACGACGAACTCTTCTAAGCTCCACTGTCTGAGGGAAGGATCCAATGGTGGTTGTAGGCAGAATTGGTAGGTTAAGTTTCTTTTGTTGGGCATCAAGTCTAGCACTAACATTTGTAGCACGGCGGTGGTCAGATCCTTGAAGAGCAGCGGACTGAGATATCACAAGAGTAAAAAGTAGTAAGTACAATATGACACAAGTCAATTGAAAGAGAAGACAATCCTTCAGTTCAACACTTACAGCCTTTTGAACAGCTTCATTTGTCACTCTTGGGGAGGACTTTCTGGAAGCTTGAGCAGCAGCATTGACAGAGAAAAATGCCTGAAAGTACAATGAATACATTTAGCCGTGATATGCAAAAAACTTTGTCGAGAGTATAAGTAAAAAAGACTCATTTCCCGAAGTGATTTTTTGAAGACCTTTTAGTTAAGAACGAACTATACCTCATCCTTGGCACCAGTCAATGCCTTGGCTAAAGCATTTACTTCAACAACCTTTTGGGCAGCAAATGCGAGCCATGATTTGATTTCATTGTCTAGCTTTGGCTCGTTGACCAGATCAACAGCAGTGTGGAGTAAGGAGCAAGATGTAGAGACAACAAGCTTGTCTGCATAATTGAAAGAAAAAATTGATCATTTCCTGCTACAAAATCACTACCAACTACCAAGTGGTGAGATAGGAAATACATTACCTTTTCCTACAATGCCCTCAAGAGATTGCAGGAGGTTAAGAGATGCAGCAAGATCATTAGCCCAAATGTTCCTCCCGTCAACAACTCCAGCAAACAAGTACTTGCCAGAAGGGAAACCACCCTTGATTAAATCGAGGGTCTGAGTTCCACGGACCAAGTCAAAGCCAAATCCGGTAACTCCTTTCAAAGCAGTGAGGGTTTTGAATGCCTCAGCAGGAACATCAGCAAAGTAGGTCTCAACGATAACATTAAGGCCAGATAGAGATGACTCTAGGTCACCATAGGCCTTAGTGAATGCTTCCAATTTGTGAGCCTCTAGATCCAACACAAGCGTAGGTTCGTCAAGCTGAATCCAAGAAGCGCCAGCTGCCTTCAACTCAGCAATAACTTCCCTGCATTGACAATTTTAAGTTAAGAGTATGTCCATTCAGATATAGCGGGTCGTGAAAAAAAAACACTTACTTGTAAATTGGAAGGATTTTGTCCAGAAGTGACAACAGGGGGAAAGATTTCTCAACACCCTTAGCAGGTTTGGAAAGCAACAAGTATGAAACTGGACCAACAAGTACTGGAACAGTATCTACTCCAAGCTGCGTGAGTAACAAGATCAAGATCAATAAATCAATCATCTAATCTTTTATTTCCATGCATAAGCACAAATAGATTTAACAAGACAATGTAAATGCTGTAACTAAATATGCACCAAAACAAAATGAAAACATAAAAGAAATGAACAATCGTCTTTCTAGACCACAAAATCCGAACTTGTATCTGCTCTCTTCGAAAATTACACAAAGCAAAAAGTGAAGTGACATGTATTGTGAAATGAAAAGTATACATAAGAAACGAATCACATACCCCCTTGGCCTCCTTGTACTCATCTACTGCCTTGTGAGAAGCATAAGAAAAGTTAACATCAGGTCCCAACTCAGGGACAATGAAGTGGCTGGATCAAACATTGAAAAGCCATAAATCAGCACACGGACAAGATAATCATATATCCGATGAAAAGAAAAAGTTGATGTGTCACTTACTAGTTGGTGTCAAACCACTTTGTCATCTCCATAGCAGGGACAGAGGCATTTCCTCTGGCCATGGAGAAGTAAGTGTCGAACCCGATCTCACCACCGGTCCAGTTGTACCTAGAAGGGACGGCACCAAGCATTGCGGTTGTGTCGAGCACTTGATCATAGTAAGAGAAGGTGTTGCTGGGAATGTACTTAATGCCAGCTTCAGCCATCTGTTTCCAGATGGATGACCTGAGGTCAGCAGACACCTTCTTCAAGTCCTCAGCGCTGCTCTTTCCATCCCAGAAAGACTCTAGAGCAAATTTGAGCTCTCTCTTTGGGCCCATACGGGGGTATCCAACAATGTGAGATGCCATTTTTCTGCTTCACCAAAAACACTCAATCAGACATGAATTTAAACCAATGATCACACACTTTGAATAGATTTATTTTTGGTAAAGGTTCCCACGAAAACGCCCTTGATTAGAGCGGAGTGGATATAAAGGATTCATATAGCTGACCCAAATCAAGTGTAGTTAATGGTTAAGGAATATACTTAGCTAGCGTTTGGACATAGATTTTGTTGAAACTTGAAAAAAGAGTATTTGAAGTTGTTTTGAAAAATAATTTTTGGAAGTATAGCTGACCCAAATCAAGTGTAGTTAATGGTTAACGAATATACTTAGCTAGCGTTTGGACATAGATTTTGTTGAAGTTGTGCTTGGACATGTATTTTATATGAAAAGAACTTGAAGTTTTGTGAGTAGAAGAAAAATTTCACCCGAAAACTGATCATGACTGTTTTCAGAAATTCTGTTGAAAAAATGTACCCAAAATCTATGGCCAAACGGGTATTTAAAATGCTTAAAGATTCATTCTTTTTCTTTTTTTAAAAATTTTTGGAAGGTGGTTGGGGGTGGTTGAGCATTGCCACGTGTTGTATTAAATGTATAGAATTAGAAAGTGCATTATTACAAAAAGCAGAGCTTGTCCATTTTCCAAGTACAACTAACAAACAGAGAATGAAACCTTAAAACAATGATACAAAAGCAAAATAAGTACACAATGCTGAGTTCCAAACAAAAAATAAACACTCAGTTAAATAATGCAATTATTCATCATATATATGAACTTCAGAGCACCAGATCTGCGTTAAATCAAGCAATAAAAGTTGGTTCACAAACACCCAATACCCACCTCATATCAGATCTAATGAGACAACAAAGACCTTATTACAGATCTGCAACTCCTCACCACCACATATTTTTCTTTTAAAACAGATCCCGAGGGACAGTGGAGAACAGTTCAAAACACAGTGTATAATGGGCTCGCCCCTCTACCCATAATTACACAGATCTAAAAATCAATATCCATGCATAAAGATTCACACCCCATAAACAAAAACAGTGAGTAAGTAGTAGTATATAATTTAGTAGCAATCTATTAAGAGCCACAGAGCAAAAATGACACAACATCAAATCGGTCCATAAGACCATAACCATATAGTACTAAACAAACACACAACAAAAACCATTGGGATTCAAGAATTAACACTAAATCCATACCAATTGGCGAAGAAACAACAACAGAATCTTGAAGGGGGGAAATTAAAACAAAAAGGAATCCAACTTCAAATGAAGTGTTGTAAAAGGAATATGGCAACAGAAATACAAGAAATGAGAGATTAATTAACAGAATTACAAGGGGACGAACGACAAAGCGTACCTTTAGGAAAATATAGGAACCGGTGAAGAGTGGTTCTTGGTTATAGAATGAAAAAGAAGAAGAAGAAGAAGAAGAAGAAAAGGGGAGGACGCGAGTTTGAAGCGGAAGATGATTTGGTTTATATAGAAAGGGTTGTACAAAAAGTTGGTGTCGTGTGGTAGATCTGGCATGAGAATATAAATATTGATTAAATTTTAGGTAAAAACTTATTCCCTCATATTTTTACTAAATCATACTTAATTTATGTGTACAATTTGACTAGATACAGCAGTTTAAAAAAGAAACTATAACTTTTATTATGTCATCTTAAACATGTTTTAGTAGCTCATTTAGTTGATTATATGAACTTGAGGTTAAGTTCCCCACCTTATAATCCCCTTCTTCATTATAAGACTTTTGAGACTCGTAGTCTTAAATATGGCTATACAAGTTTTATATTATCAGTAAAAAAAAAGTCTGAGATAATTATTTTAATATATAGAAATGTGTCAGTATTCTAAATTGATTAATAAGAGAAGTATGCTACATAAACTAGAACAAAAAAAGAATTAATTTATCATATTTAATTATTTTAATTAAGATAAAAAGATGTGCTAATTAACTATATAAGTTAGTTATAATAATTATGTCATATGTGAAGATGCAGGTTATATGTTCACTGATTTAATTAACATCAAGTATGAATAAGATTTTTTTTAATAAAATTATTATGTTAATATAATTTTATCGCTGTAACAGATTACCATATTTTGTAGGGATCAATTTATTTCTTATATAGAAAAGTTGCATTTAATTGATTTGATTTTGATCGTGTAGAAGTTATATACATTGTTCCTGAGAAATGAAACGCATAATTTATTCATTTTTTAAAAATAAGATTTAAATTTTGTACATTGATTTATGTAAAATAATATTGCATTGTCATGAACTTTTTTTCGTAGTTACGTTAATCTAAAATTTGTTTTTTACATTGATTAGTTCAAATAAATGTCCAAAACCGAAATAGATCTACATATTCAGCTTGTAGACCTTGGCTGTCGGTGCATCATGAGTTAGTAAATGATGGTACAAGTCCAGCATTTAAGTAAAACAAAATCAATGCTAGTATTGTCTTGCCTTATAGTCGAAGCAATTCATATTTTTACAAGACGTGAGATCTTACTCAATGGCACAATTTTTGTAAATTTACCATGTACTTTTAAGTTTTAACCCCATTTATAAAGGGTGCTTCAATTTTCGTACTTTCACCTTTATTATTTGGCAAGTAGTATGTATAATATTCTTTAGACCAGTTTGATTTGGACTACATAACTAGGGGTTTGCATAAGTCGGGTTGGTTCCGATTTTTCAATTACCAAATCAAACCAATTGTGTCAGGTTATTAAATCTAAAGACCAAACCAAACCAATAAAAGTCGGGTTCTTTAATCTCGGGTTTTTCCGATGTTAGGATTTTTTTCATAAAGTCTTCATAGCACAAAATATAGAATTTGTGCTCCAAATATTTCTTTAATCCAAATAAGACAGAACTATATACGGTATTTTTTAAGAAATAACATAGAATATGAGATGATTCATGACATTATACTAAAATATTCAATAATAAAAATAATAAAATCGCATAAAAAATATTATTAATAAGCAACAACAACAACAACCCAGTATAATCCTACGTGTGGGGTCTGGGGAGGGTAGTGTGTACGCAGACCTTACCCCTACCCGGGGGATAGAGAGGTTGTTTCCAAAAGACCCTCAGCACAAGGAGATGAAAAATAGACAATGGAACAATAACAACCACATATGTCGGGAAGACAGTGCCAACAACCTAAGAATCAGAAAAATAAATAGAAAAGGCAGTAACGATAATCAGAACAATGGAAAGGTACTAGGCAATCGGAACAGAAAACAGTACAAACACAACAAGTACCACTAGCAATCTAAAGCAAGACACTACAAACTAGCCTAACACCCTGAACGGGGAAGAAAAACGCTCAACTATCCACTAACCTACGATCCTAATGCTCGCCCTCCAAACCTTCGTATCTTAGGTCATGTCCTCGCTGAGCTGGAGTCGCCGCATGTCCTGCCTGATAACCTCTTCCCAATATTTCTTAGGTCGTCCTCTACCTCTTCTCATACCTGTCAAGGCCAACCGCTCGCACCTCTTAACCGGGGCGTCAAGGCTTCTACTCCGCACGTGCCAGAACTATCTAAGCCTCGCTTCCCTTATTTTGTCATCCATGGGCGCCACCCCCACCTTAGCCCGAATATCTTCATTCCTAATCTTATCCAACCTAGTATGCCCGCACATCCACCTCAACATCCTCATTTATGCTACTTTCATCTTCTGGATATGAGAATTCTTGACTGGCCAACACTCTGCCCCATACAACATGGCCGGTCTAACCACCGCTCTACAAAACTTGCCTTTAAGTTTCGGTGGCACCTTTTTGTTACACAAGACGCCAGATGCTAACCTCCATTTCATCCATCCCGCCCCTATACAATGTGTGACATCCTACTTTCTATCTCCCCGTTACCCTAGATAATAGACCCAAGATACTTAAGCTCCCTTTCTTGGGGATGATTTGTGAATCAAGTTGTATACGGTAGAAATCGGGGCTACCCAATTTCATTCTTTGGTCGGGATTGGAACGTCACGTCAAAGATTTGGGACGTCGAGTCCGGATCGAGGTAGACATCGATTGTGACCAAAAAGAGGCAGACTTCGAGTGACATCGACGTAGCTTGATAACGGAAAAGGCGAGATATCCGTGATTGGTTGAGGATCGTGGCGTGAATCTCGAAACGAATCAATCTATAGTGGTTAATTAGATGTTAACATGATTTCTTACTATAATTAGAAGTGTACCTTATTTAGGACTCCTCTATTATATAAAGAGGTATCCCTTTCATTTGTAAGCATAATTGTTACTGATAAGAATTTATACACTCATTACTTTCTTGCTATTTCATTTACTGTTCATCAAAGTTGCTTTATCATTTGCTATCCCACCTCGGGGCTATCCCAAGTCGAGGTCGAGACCTGGCTAGCACACTGGTTTGATTTATTTTATTCTCCAATTTATTCGTTTATTTTCTTACTTATCAATTGGTATTAGACGAAATTACATATCCTTAAAACCACAATATAAGTTTAATTGTTATCCGAATTTGTGGGTAAACAGTTTGGCAGCCACTGTGGGGCTAAGGATAATAGTGATTGTTCGGTGCTAATTCTGATAACACACATTATTTACACTTGTTCTTGTCAAGTATCTTTGCTCTCAGGTTAAAACATGTCAAACTCACAAAACGCACCCACACATGGTGAAGATGGTCTCGGGTTTCACGGGGAAAATGACAATGTAATTGCCCCAGGAGCCGAGGTGCCATAGGCTAATCTCAGGGGAGCACCAGTTGCCAATCCAGTCGATGTTAGTTCGCACATTGCTTTAAATGTGGACCTAGGCGCGGACCCCAAAGGGAGTGTACGCAGAGAAAGCCAATCTGGTGGCCAAGGTACACAAGGCAGATGAGATGGAGGAGTTAGTCTCCAGGTGATATTCGAGATGCTACAGGCTCAACAGGCTGCTATTGCTCAATTACAAAATCAACATAGAACTCCAAGTGTGGTCGAGCCAGAAATCACTCGCCCCACCGAGCTAGTGCCAGAAAGGTCGAATGATAATGAATCGGGGACTGATCCTGCAATAATGAAAATGCTCGAAGAGCTCACCAAAAGAATTGAGTCAGGAGAGAAGAAAATCAAAGCTAATGATAAAAAGTGGAAACATGCAATTCCCGAGTTGATCAGATACTAGGGGCACCACTAATCTTGAAAGGAATGGATTCGAAGAAATTTGTACAAAAGTCGTTCCCTTCGAGTGCGGATTCGAAACCCATTCCAAAGAAGTTTCGTATGCCGGACATACCTAAATACAATGGGACCACCGATCCTAACGAGCATGTCACCTCCTACACATGCGCCATCAAGGGTAACGATTTGGAAGATGATGAGATCGAATCTATTTTATTGAAGAAGTTCGGGGAAACCCTATCGAAGGGAGCAACGATTTGGTTCCACAATCTACCACCAAATTCTATCGACTCGTTTGCCATGTTGGCAGACTCTTTCGTAAAAGCACATGACGGAGCCATAAAGGTTGCGACAAGGAAATCGGACCTTTTCAAAGTAAGACAGAGGGCGAATGAAATGTTAAGGGAGTTTGTATCCCGATTTCAAATGGAACGAACAGAATTGCCACTGGTCACAGATGATTGGGCCGTTCAAGCTTTCACTTAAGGATTGAATGAACGAAGTTCGATAGCATCACGTCAGCTGAAGCAAAATCTGATCGAGTATCCGGCTGCAACTTGAGCAGATATACACAATCGGTACCAATCGAAGATCAGGGTCGAGGATGACCAATTAGGAGCTCCTTCCGGTTTAGTGCACCCAAACAGGTCAGCCGCCAAAAATCAGAGAGACATCGACACTGATCCAAGATCGAACAAAAACCGATATCAACCGTACACCTCAGATTGCAGGAACAATGATCCAGGACGCAATCACGTCCGGAACGATCGGAGAAGTGATCGAGGACAGAATTCTTGGGGACTCATAAGCAAAAATGGTTTTGACAAGTATGTCGGCCCCCCAGAGGCACCTCGATTATCGGAGTATAATTTTAGTGTCGACGCCTCAGGTATTGTGTCAGCAATTGGAAGAATCAAAGACACCAGATGGCCTAGGCCCATACAAAGCGATCCTTCCTAAAGGAACCCCAATATGATGTGTAAATATCATGGCACACATGGTCACAGGACCGAGTATTGCAGGCAATTGAGAGAGGAGGTAGCTCGTTTATTAAATGAGGGCCACTTTCAAGAATTCCTAAGTGATGGAGCCAAGAATCATTTCAGGGAAAGGGACGCCAACAAGAAAATTGAACAGGAAGAGCCACAACATGTACTTCATATGATCGTCGGAGGGGCCGATATTCCACAAGGGCCCTGTTCAAACGCACTAAGGTATCAATTACTAGGGAGAAACGGACCCGAGACTATGTGCCAGAAGGCACCTTATCATCCAACGACGAAGAGGCAGA